TTCATATAGTATCCTCCTGGGTGCAAAATAACATCGAATAGTCGTTAATTTGAATGCAAAAATTGTACTGCACGCATGTTGGCCTAATCATGCATTGAAATTTCTAATTTTTGCTAGCTGTTTGACTGTTAATCTGCGAGATATAATTGTGAATTCACAAGAGACCCAACGTTGCGTGTCTGATGACGATATGAAATCGCACGCACTGTCTGGCATATGTGATGATGTTTTTTTCTGTTGATATGAAAGAACCAGTATCATAGCATTCTTCATTTCTGATTGTTTTCCTCCTCTTTATGATGCATAAAAACATTCCTAATTTGTTAACAATTAAGCCGATCCAAACGTACAGCATGTATGTATACCTTGATGACTATCATGTCAGTGCGTGTTTGTGAACATTCCTAAATATGTGCACAAAGGCCTATACCGAATCCACATAGGCCATTGATTAAAGCAACAGATCACACTCTTTGTGCATGCGTATGTGAACAGCACTAGTTTTCGATGCAAGGCGAAGAACAGAGATCAATATAAGCCCTCATTTGAAGCATTTGAACTACACGACGGAATCTCTGACAAGATACCGTACTTTATCAATCCTGTCTCTTATACACATCTAGATGTGTATAAGAGACAGACTATTATTACCCCAAATAATGAAATGCATTAGTAGGCCTATACATGATGCCAAAATACATATTTCCAAAATGTACCGGTATACTTGGTGCTCGCTAGCCCAATGCGACTCAGTGACGCAATTGTTGCCCGTCAATGGAAGATGTCCCAATGTTTTCCAAATCACAGGCATATTATTAAACAGATTGTACGTGAATGGTCGGTCAATATACACAATTATGATGTGCCACCACAGCTTTTTTCGTTGACCTATCGTTTGCGTACAAATGTTTTGAATTTTAATAATAAAATAAAGCAAAATAGCGTAGTATGCAATTATGCAATATGAATTACTATACACAACTTAATAGTGTGCCAATTAATAATACTGCTGTAATTATAAACACTGACCTGACAACAGTGAAACCAATGCAGCGATGATGAAGGAGAGGATGATAGCTGGGCCAGCATCATCTCTCGCCACTTGTCCCGCCAGCACATAAGCTCCAACACCGAGAGTACTCCCCACACCGATTCCTGTTAAGTCCAATATCGACAAGCAACGTCGAAACTCGGTTTCATGTAGCGACTGAGTATCAAAGGTTTTCACACGAAACAACTTCTTGCCAAACTGACGAATATTCTCCATATTGTTTCGCGTATTTGTGTGCTGGATACACTGGCTACTTAGCTCGCTGCACAAGATCAAAATTAATGAATCCAAGTCCCCGGCAACGATAATCAATTCGTTGGCATTTAAGACGGATGTTTGTAAGTGAAAGCACGGCTTTAGACGAGAAGATCCGAGTGGCATACGACGCACGCTGATTCGTCACCTGCGATAAGTTGATCATTTGGGTAATCAAATAACATTTTGTTTTATTTCTTAATGCTTAGTATCTGTCAGATGGTTTGGTGTTTCAGTACAATAATGACAGTAATCCATAAAAATGTTTGTGCGATATGATTATATAGCCTGCTCATGTTCATCCAAACATAGAAAACGATTTAGCATGACATTGACGACATAAATGTAAAACAAAGTGAATAAACAGTATCAGTTGTTGAATTATATTTTTGCCGATAAACCGCACTTTTTATTATTTAATTTTCCAGGACGCAAACTCACATCGAAATAGCATTTGCAGTGCGGTACCCGCTGCTACTTAACTTTAGGATCGAATTCAACACTAGTCAGAGCAAGCTCAGTGGTCTGGGGTTATGACACCAGGCTAGTTATCTGGAGGGCGTGGGTTGGATTCCCACCCAAATCACTTACACATTTTTTTCGCAAGTATTTTGGAACATACTGAGTACCGGTATTCGGTACGACAACACTTCAGGTAGGGTAAAACATCACTCCTATGATAATTCCCTGACGAAAAACTCACATCGATATTTTTTAAATAAAGATGTATCACTGTGAAGTGATGTAGCACGTTGTTCCTTTTGTGAAGGAACAACGTGCTACATCATTTTCAATGATAAAATAGAAATCAAGTTGACGTATTTTTAGAACATAATTTAACAGAAATATTTCGTCCACTCCTGTGGGCTTCATCAGCGTCGTGATGTATGTACATCAGGGATACAGTATTAACTACTTGTTGCTGAAACTCAATTGACCTATCAACAAACGAAGCAAAGCAAAAAATATATTATGTTCCAAAAATATGTCAATTTGACCTTTGTTTTGAATTATTGTTATTGGCTTCAAGACTATAGCCTATACATATATTAT